TTCTGTTTCCAGCTGAGCTCACCTATGATGTGCAGCAGTTTCCAGTTTGAACTCTGACTGTCGGAGCTTGTATTTCTCTTCATGTTGTGATGCACTGCTGATCTCTTGGTGGTCTTGTTTTTCTYCTCTRCTCTGTCCTCCTCTGTTATTGAACATCCGTTCAATCTCCCTCCTGCTGTTTCTTCCCCTTTTTCTCCGTGCTCTCCCTGCCTGATGCAGCTGCGCGGGGGGAGTGTGTTGATGGGGCTGCACAGAGGCGAAGATTCGACTCTGTCCCGTGTGGAGGAGGTGCTGGTGAACGATGGAGACTGGCATCATTTGCAGCTGGACATCAGCAGTCTGGGCGGAGCAAATCACCACAAAGCCGTATTGTCTTTAGACCATGGACTCTACCTGGTGAGATGTTGCATCTGAGTCCAAATCACTGTGAATGAAATTCCTCCATCTTCCCAATCTCAGCAATCACATGTGCCATGTACATTTCAGGCGAGTATGCAGGTGGACGGGAAGCTGCGGGACTCCAAGCTGAAGACTGTGAGCGTTGGTGGTTTGGCAAGGCATGATGGGAAAGTTCAGCATGGCTTCAGGGGCTGTATACAGGTTTGTCCCTTCTGTATATCCTGTTTATATCCACATTTGGTATAATGCCTAAAAGTCGACTTTATCAAACGTGTAACAATGAGCGACCCTCGGGTGAACATGTGTTTGTTTAGCAGGTCAAAAGACATCGAGAGAAATAATAATAATAACTTTATTTGTATAGCACTTATCTAAACAAGGTTGCAAAGTGTGTATATGTTTAGGTTATATATTAAACAACAGCGGTGAATATGTTTAAAAGGTAAAGCACAGCAACTGCATGTTGAAATATGGAACAGGAATTTGTAAAAGAAATTGTTTTTTTGTTTTTTTACTGAAGCCAAATTTATTTCAGTTTTACTTTTGGTTTTTTAGACAGACTCAAAATGTTTGTGTTTGCCACACATCCCATTCAAAACATAAAGGTTACAATTTCAACATGAGCTACTCATCCGTGCAGACGTTACACATGTATCTGCAGTCTCAGGGCGTTCATGGAGAAACTTGATGCTGTAGACATTTTCTCCTTTGATATGGTGGTTTCTTGCCAAACCTGAACTCTGTTGTGCCTCCATGGTTTTATGCTGTACACGTGTTCGTCTTGTTTCCCTGCAGGGTCTGCGTGTTGGCGGAGCTCTGAGTTTGTCTCAGGCAAGGAAGGTGAACGTGGAGCCGGGCTGCAGCGTGCCCGACCCCTGCAGCTCCAGTCCCTGTCCTGTCAACAGCTACTGCAGCGACGACTGGGACAGCCACTCCTGCACCTGCCTCAATGGTCAGTCTGTGCTCACATTCACACGCCAGGATCGTAACATCGTCCAGGTCCAAAATGTTACCAAATAGATTTTAAACATTTCAGCTCGTGTCACATTCCATGTTCTGTCTATTTTGTCCTGTAAAAAGCTTTTGTTTCTGTTTTTAATTGCTCAGACAAAATAAGAGTTTGCCATACAGAGTAGTAAATCATATGGTTTGTGGCTCAGGAGGTAGAGTGCATTGTTCACTAATTAGAGGGTTGGTGGTTTGATTCCCAGCTTGTAGAGTCTGCATGCTGAAGTGTCCATGTGAAAGAATGAAATGCATGACTGGTAAATGACATAGTGCTAGATATACGTAGAGGAGCTGTGTGAATGTCAACTGTACTGAAAAGTGCTTTAAATGATTGTTTGACTAGAAAATGACTTTATAATGCGCTCAATTTAAATCCAGAAAATCACTTGTGGGGTTTTCCGTAAATGTACCACGTTACAGTTCGGGCCTGTGTGTCACTGTCTTCTTCTTCTCCGTCCATACCCCAGATTACTGCCACAGCAGATTTGATCATTTATTTCCCTTTGCTTCACTTTATTTTTATAGGTTTCTATGGCACCAACTGCACTGATGTGTGTTCATTAAATCCCTGTGAACACGAGTCGACGTGCACCAGGAAGCTGAGCTCATCTCATGGTTACACCTGTGACTGTCCCAGCAGCTACTTCGGCCATTACTGCGAGAAAAAGTACAGTTTCCACATTTACATGAACTGTAGTCATGGTTCCTCTGCAGATGACATGAACTTAACAGGCAATGTGCGTCTCCACAGGACGGACTTACCGTGTCCAAGAGGCTGGTGGGGTCACAAGACCTGTGGTCCCTGTAACTGTCAGACGGACAAAGGTTTTGACTCTGACTGTAACAAGACCAGTGGAGAGTGTCGCTGTAAGGTGAGTTTACAGAGCTGAAGCCTCGAGTCATCACTCCGACAAAACAACTGTGAACATGGATGAGCTGAGAGTTGGATGTTCTGTGTCTCAGTTACATGTAATATTAGCTTGATACTAGATAACCATTTATCACAATGTGCTCTTTTTGTA